CCATCAAACACTTTCCAATTCAAATGAATAATTACCAATATTGTTGCAATATCTCTTCAAGTGAATCAATATAGTTTGCTTATTCATGAAAATCTGAATGACTATAATGAACCTACACATAATACCAATACGTTTATTAGCATTTATTTATACAGACAACTCAGGTCAAGTTCCATCCGTTGCATCTGAAATAATATTTATTCTATCTATCTAGTTATAAAATTATGTAAGAGTTTGTTCATAATTACTAAAAAATTATGTATTATTTATTGGTGAACTTGGAGTGATGTCGCAAAACTTAATTTAACATAAATTTTAATGAAATTCATTTTTCTCCTTGTTACGCAGCCAAACTTTTTTCAGTGTCACTACACAACTATCTTTTACACAACCTACCCCATAAGTTGTTTAACACCTTTAGGTAACCTCATTGTATTCAGATATACATTTACACCCATTTTTTGCAGTAAATAACTTACTTTAATAATTTTTCACATCCTTTCAACATATTATCCACATTTTTAAGCCCAAATTACTACTCCTTTCTTTGATTTCCTTTCGAAGCATTAAAAGTAAAAATATATTAGGATCAAGACTCGATAAATTTTATTCATTCATAAGTATTCTGGCTTATAGTACTTTTATTTGATATCTTAGAATCCTAATTACTTTTAACTAATTAGAAAATATTTGATCTCTATGCAAGTTTACTTCAAATTTATTTATCAATTTTTTAAATATATCTATTTACTAATTAAAAATAACATCTTATATTTAAATTCAACCTATTTTAAACCTTATATTTTTTGAATAGCAAGATAGTAGTAAACAGATCAGCTTTCAGTTAAAACTATTAGCAGATAAAATCAATTTGCTAAATTAGATACTAATTACATTATTGGCTAAACAAGAATTGTAATTCTAGAACTTTCTTCGAGTTAGAAAGCTCATATTAGAGTAAAATAGATGTCCAAAGTATAATAACAATGATTCAAAAATTGCACTTTAGTTTAAAATATTATGATCGACATATATATTATAATGTAAAAAATTAATCAGACACAAATCGATAAGCCATATAGAATTATATTTCAAAATTAACTTTAAAATATATATTAATTATTTATTAGATGATTTATTCTAAAATGATAGAAAAAGAGGAGGATCTTCATTGTAGTTTAAAACATCAACTTCCTATTTTAATGGTTAATGTTGACGCAAAATTAAAAAAGAATGAAAGACTATTATGCACTGAATGTATGGAAAATTTGGAATCAACAGCCTAATTAATGAGTTTTAAGAAAATTAGTTAAAATATTCGAGAAATACAAAAATAAAAGAAAGAATGTATTGAAGATGTGATTAATACCAGCATTAAATAGATTGAGTAATTCTAGAAAGAGCTTTAGATATTAAAATCAAATGTTATTCAATAATTAGATATATTAATTGGTAATATAGATGAATGGATCAAAAATGTATAAATAATTGGATAAGAAAATGTTACTTATAGTTTTTATGACGAATTGGAAAATATTATTAACAAAACAAAGCCCAATCAATCCAATTAGGAATTTATTATTGATTAAATTAATTAAATCAACTAAACTTGGTATCATAAGCTTTTTATTAAACTCAGTTTATTTAAATAATTTGAAGAAAGTGAATTATGTGAAGATATATTAAAAAAAATCACAAAATTTGATTAATTAAAAGAGAATATCAAAGTGTCAGAAAAGTAAGAGATATTACAAAAAAATTAATAGTATTAATTTCAAAAATAATAGATGGCGGATTAATAAGTTGAATTGAAATTAAT